TACGGATTTTTTGTACACGCATCTACTTCTACAATTTTTTAGATACCTGGTTGAAATTTTTAAAGAGGTTAAGTTTTTAAAGAGTTAGGTGTGCGAGTAGAAACCTGCACATTGCTTGATTAGAGTTTTTAAGTGTTTAAGTAGAAACCTTCGCACACAAAGCTTCCTCTATGAGGAAGCCAACACAAATAAATACTGAAAATTATACATTGAAAAAAATAATGCTTCATCAACTTGCACACTTAATAACTATGAGGAAGCAATGTGCAAGTTTCAACTTGCACAATTTTTAATAAGGAATATTTAATGGATAATGGAACAAAAATCTGCAAATTAAATAATTTCTTTTGATAACGTTACGAAATGTTGAGTTTTTAATACTTTATTTTTTTAAATATTCAAACTTTTGTAGCAGAGATGGGATGGAGTGAGGTAGGGTGGATCTCACACTTTGCGTGGATAGTTTTTAGATAGCATTGTATTTTCTAAACACAACAGTTAGGTAGTGGATCTCGCTTCCTTTGCTAACAGGGCAAAACGAGACCTTTTATTATGTAATTTTACATGGACTTTCAACTTTTCACGTAAAAAGAGGGTCAATATTGCAGTCAAAAATCCAAAATGTAGCAAAATAATAAAAATTTAAATATTTAAAAAAGTAGTTATTTCCGCAAGTTGGCACAGAGGCTTTCGATTTCTTTTAGTACGTACTTACGTGCCTGCAAAAGTAGATTATAATCGGAGGAGCTCGCATACGGAACTCTTACCAATATTAATGCAATAGGTACCATTCTTCTAAAAACTGCTTTGAGAAAAATGAGATTTATGATTATGAGAATTACTTACTTTTACGTAATACTGATTCAAATTGTTACTTTAATAACTAGTGTTTTAATAAAATATTAGACATACACGAAAACATCGCATAGGTATATGTACAAATATTTTGTGGATAGATTGGTTATTGACTAATTACAGCACAACTATACTCCAATGTCCAACGAGAGATTGAGGATAAAGTCCCTAGAGCGTGGCGTACCGTATAAATATGTAAATAGATGTTCTGTGGAGACCTGTTTTCGTCCGACCTACTTTTAATCTCTCGTTCGACGGAGTATACATTTCAAAATTAAATAACTATAATATAAAAAAATTAATTTTTATTGTATTAAGTTCATATAGTTACTTCACAGTAATGTCTAAACAATTTTATTTTATTTTATAATTTTTTCGCACTTATTATAAGACAATTTCAGTTTTTAGTTATTACAGTTATATATATATTATAATCTCTTTATAATAAAAGAGTAATTTTTATTACAATAAGAACATCTCGTTTTTTGTTTAAAAATAATGTATAAGCAACAAAATTGTTGATTAAAAGTTTATTACATTAGTTTAATCGGGACATATACAGCTAATAAAATGCTTGTATCAATGTGAGATTTCCATAGTTGAAAGTAAATATTTATTATAATATATTTTTATGTTTAGCTCATAAAAATGTAAGAGCAATCTGGACACATGGTGGTCTTCTGAGTGCGCAGGAAGCTATTTGGAAAGGCGTACCAATGATCGTAATGCCTTTCTTTGGAGATCAAAAATCCAACACAAGAATATTAGTAGCTAAAGGCGTTGCCATATACTTGGACATTACAACTTTGTCCACGCAGTCGATATTACACGCAGTTGAAGAAATACTTTATAATGAAAGGTATCATACTTTGATCATGTTTTAATAATTATTATTTAAGCAGTAAATATTAACAATATAGCTACATTTCAGATAATTACTAAACTCTAATATTTAATATAGTATAATCGATTTACAAATTCCTATAAAAACAATTGTTTATAAAATTATAGATTATGCTTTCCTGTTTATGTGTCTTGTCATATATTTGGCTTTTCCTTTAATTAAGATGCGTTTCTTAAAATGTAATTATTTATTTCATTATTAATAGTGTAACTTTTTATACAGTTATACGAGAAACATGAAACGGTTATCCAGCGAATTCCGGGATCGGCCAATACCGCCATTAGATTTAGCTGTTTGGAGTGTTGAATACACCGTCCGCCATCCAAATGGAACTTTAGTAACACCGCTGAGATCTCAGAGCTGGATGGAACGAAATCTGATTGATGTTTACGCATTTTTATTTCTTAGTTTCTTCATAATATTGTTAAGTATATTCTTTGTAATAAAACTATTGATTAATCTTTATTATAATTATGTGTACACTGCATCTAATTTACGCAAGAGTAAACAAGCGTAAGTCGCATTAAAATGTATTAACAGGCTTTGCGTGCTGTATATAATGTTAATGTAAAGAAGTGAATATAACATAAATATCGAAAATGTTGTATTAATTGCATTGATATTGTAATTAATAATAAATTTTGTTATACTAAATTGTAAAAAAAAAATGAAGATCATGGTAAATTTTAAAAACGTTTAATAAAACAGTTTTGATGTATAAAAGCTCTTTTCTGATGACAATAAATAAAATAACACATTATTGTTTAGCCAAATGTTTATTCAAACATTTACGCGAATATAAATATTTTTTTAAAATTCGATCTCTGAATGTAAGGAGACATATGTCCACTTTGTTTAGGCAATTAAGTGTAATCATTGATATGAGACAAAGAATATTCCTGCAAAAAATTTGCGCTGTTTGAAAATGAATTTCGTTATAAAAACTCAAGAAATTCCATTCTAAAATAAAATTCTATAATAAGTTAATTTTTTGTTTTCCGATGTCAATAGTTTTTTTTGTAGGTAGAGATGTGGAAGAAATGCAAAAGTCAATTAAATTAGATCTTTCCAAAAAGAATTAAGGTCGTCGTTTTTTAAAAATAGAATTGTATGATTTTTTTATCTGGTATGATTCTTCTAGTTATTCCACATGTACAGGGTGTCCGACGGAAAGTTATTAAAACTATTAAAATCAAATAAAATTAAATAAAAGTTTTCCATTAGACAGAATAGTAGACTCAAATAAAACTTCCTAATACCTTCCAAGTCCCTCTATCAGTCGCTACTTCTTTTCTTTCACCGGTGTGAGTCACCGGTCATATTTTTCCGTACCTGAGCGCAGTCCATACTGACCATACTATATGTCGAGACGTAACAAAGCTGCGATTCTGTTGTGACGATCGAACGACAGATCTACTAACACCGTCGGTAAACATGCGCTCGATCTGCCACTGGTACCGACACAAGCGCCTTATTTCATCACATTTTCACTATTTGTTAGTCAAATACACGGTTACGGTATATTATGTATTACTATATACTATATTTTATATCACACAATTACGTTACCATAGTTCAACCTAAGTAATATGTATAAATCCAAAAATCCAACCTAACTTGCAAGACTTCAAAATTTAAACATTAAAATTTAAACATTATAATTTTGTTAAAGAAAATTAAGAAGCTATTACCACTTGGGTTGGAATAGAAGACCCTTGAATGGAAACATAATTGTCTTTAAAAGGATCCTATAGTGGTAGTCGTTACCGACATTTATAGTTAAATGAGTTAAACTTTTAATTGGCTTTACGGAATTGCAAAATTCTTTTACAGAATTGAAGTACGCACAAAAATGTAGTTCGGGCTGGTCGACTTTATATCAAAAATTAAAAAAAATTAAAAATTTGAGCACGTATAGAGCTGTCTCATTGCAACGACAATATTTGCTTATACAAAAATACTGCAGTTTATATATACAAAATGAGATACGGTACGAACTAGGGAAAACATTTCAGAACAATATCGTGCAATTATTATAGAACGAAGATTGAAAGCCTAGAGAAAAAAGATCCCTGCATAAAATGTCGGATTGAAAAGAATTAATTTAAATTCTGCTTTCTGATACGAAGAAAAGGATTGAAAAGTATTGGTTCGCATAAAACTTTACCGCGCTGAATGTGAGACAGCAGTGGTTGATGCTTCGCATTGAAAAGTATTGGATCGCATTAAATTCACCCAAAAAAATATTCTGTCATTTATATTCACCCGGCATAAAAAAAATTATTTTTTTCGAAATTTTATTACTATTTTATAACTAAATTTGTTGATTAAGGTATCCGACTTTCACGGAGGAGCGTATTTTGTAGGCGCTTAAGCAGGGCCTCAGCAAACTCTCGTATATTGCATTAAACTTATATAAAATCAAGTTATAATTGATTATTATGTTTAATTATAAGAAAAAAGTGAAAATATTATGTGTATTTAGAAATTTTTCGGTAAATTTTACTGTCAGAACGATATGGCAACGCTGCGCTTTTCAGGGCGCCAATTGTAAAATGTGAAGTTGATAACAAAAGTGTCAATGTAAGTGTCAATTTCGTTAATCAAAAAATATTGTGACATTTTCTTTTTATCAAAAAGAGATTTTATAATAATAATGAGTGATAAGAAACATAAAGTGAGGAGTAAGGTGGGCAAAATTAAGAGACAATTTGTGAAAATAAAAGAGAAGCAGCGCACTCAAAATATTATCAATTCTAAAAAAAAAAGATTCAATAAGGTAAGGTTACGGAAACGGTAATATTATTAATTAAATAACTGGAAGAACAAGATAATTGGCAATTGTAACTGTAATTTATATTTTGGTAAAGGAGTCCGATTTTGTCCGATATTGATATATATTTTTGAATTATTTTTCTTTTTTAAAACATAATAAATAGTTGATAATAAACCGTACGTAATGAACTGAAGTGTGACATGAGCGCACAGCTTGCAGCGTTAATTGCCAAATCATTCCTTGAAAGTCGCCATTAAAAATATTCATCTATAAACCACATTTCAAGTAAACTTTTAACATAAATATTTTGTTTAAATATTCGGTGACTCTGTATTTTTATCGGCACTATCGAAAGTATAGAGTTTAGCGAATATATATGTAGCGCAGTTAATATTTAATATCTCAAGATATTTGATAAACAAATTATTACATTGAAATGTAAAAAATAGACTTTTTCGATAACGTCACATATAAAATATCGAATTTTAAAAGTCATAATTCTTCTTTATATGTTCGGTAATGTGGTTTTTTCTGGCGTAAAGATATGCATTTAAACTTTCTCGTGCCAAAAAATCAGTTAATTCTTAAGACTTTGATGTCATGAAAGGAATACCTTAAGATGAAGTCTATGGCCGCGTTCAGGAAACACAACTGTTGAGTGAGCGCTCATTATGATTGGTTCTTACACTTAGATCCGGAGTAGAACCAAAGGTAAGAACCAATCATATTAAAGAATCACTGACCGCTCACTCAACAGTTGTGTTTCCTGAATGCGGCCTATGATTATAAATATTTTCTCGTATTTGAAAAAAACACTTATCTGGGGTGCGTTCGGAAACGTCACCTGTGTGCAAACGAGTATACTCCCTTTTCTTTCTATCTCAGCGAGTTAGAAGGAGAAGAGAGTATACCCGTGGGTACCCAGGTGACGTTTATTTCGAACGCAGCCCTTGGTGGGATTCGAAATCGGGACCTCTGGATCGTGAGCTAACTGCCTTACGTGGTAGACTACTTCTTAATTTGATGTAAGTGTTATATATAGTCTACCCTGCATAAAACGTCTTATTCAAAAATATTGTTTCGCTTTCACGAGATTTTTTCATGAATTCTGCTTTGCAACAATTTCGGATTGGATCACGGGTCAATACTTTTCAGTGCGATACTGGGAATAGAACGTGAAAATCTTGTATGCCTCTGAATCCAAAAACAATTAGCAGAAGAAGTGAATCCTTTTTAATGCGAAAATTCGCATTTGTTTGAAGGTTATCGATTGCGATTGAATGCGAGGAATATTTTAAGCTAAGTGAATTCTTTTTAATGCGTAAGCTGATACTTGTTTGTTAAAATTTTGCGTTTTAACACCGCAGCCAGGCGCGTGGTGGGGATAGCGCATACAAGGAAAGAGCCGTGCACACTGTACATGCGCACACGTATACGGCTTTTTCCTTGTGTGCGCTACCACCATGCCCTAATCACACGCCTAGCATGGCAGCAGTAGCAGCAATGCTGAAACGCAAGATCGGCTGGATCGGCATGCTCGTGCTCGTGCTGTATTCATTATCCCGTCCAATCCCGGATAAGGTCCCGACCATTATTTATTAGGAATGCCATAAGAAAGGTTTTCTTATTTGTGTCTAATGAGGCCCTTGTAAAGATTTGATAAAAATGTTTTAACTTTATAAATATACTTTTTTCATAAATATATTTACGAACACAACATAATGAGCCGGCACTGGTTTCTGACATTCACCCGACATTAAGAAATATTATATCATATATCCAATTCAAAATTTTATTACTCTTTTTAAACTAAATTTGTTTCTTAAGATAATTTTTGAAAAATTATATATTTGCGCTGATGGTTATGACATATGTAGACTATATATAACACTTACATCAAATTAAGAAGTAGTCTATAATACCACGTAAGGCAGTTAATTGGCTCACGATCCAGAGGTCCCGAGTTCGAATCCCACCAAGGTGTTTTTTTAAAATACGAGAAAATATTTATAATCATAAACTTCATCTTGGTATTCCTTTCATGACACCAAAGTCTTAAGAATTAAAGCGGGGAGCACACACTTCTGCATAACGCATAATGCGTAAGCATAAGAAATTTGATTGGTCCATACACATGTGCATAAGGAAATAGACCAATCAGTTTTCTTATGCTTATACGCATTATGCGTTATGCAGAAGTGTGTGCTCCCCGCTTAACTAATTTTTTGGTACGAGAAAATTAAAATGCATATCTTTACGCCAGAAAAAAATTAAACTACATTACCGAACATATAAAGAAGAATTATGACTTTGAAAATTCGATATTTTATATGTGACGTTATCGAAAAAGTCTATTTTTCACATTTCAATGTAATAATTTGTTTATCAAATATCTTGAGATATTAAATATTAACTGCGCTACATATTCGCTAAATTCTATACTTTCGATAGTGCCGATAAAAATACAGAGTCACCGAATATTTAAACAAAATATTTATGTTAAAAGTTGACTTGAAATGTGGTTTACAGATGAATATTTTTAATAGTCCAGTCATTTTAGGTTTTCTGTGCAAAAAAATTAGTAACCACTATTTTTTTTTTTAATCGCTTTATTTCGTTGTTTTAAATAACATATTAAAAATCGAGAACGATACCGGGTGTGCTAAAAAAGTTATTCAAGGTCAAAGGTCACAAAAATCAGTTTTTTGCGAAAATCTCGTTTTGTATGGCTCGGAGGTCAATTAAGGTAGTTACAAAAAAGAAAGATCATGAAATTCTCTACAAAAATGGTTCTATTCATTTTTCACGTACGATGAACCGTTT